TCAAAATGTTTCAACCAACCATTTTGGAAATCAGAACTCATAAGTAAATCTTGTCACAAATCACAACATTTATACAGTCAAGAACTTAAGCCTTTGAAGTTACTAGGTTTATGGCAACAGCCAAGAGACATGGCTGCAAATTTTATTAATAATGAACTCAAAACAGTCATCAATAATCTAATCATAAAAAGAATTCTGTTTCTACTAGAACTTTTCTGCCATATCAGTAAGTTCCTAAGTTGCATCTGCTGTTGGATTAAAATTTTCAGGAAAGTTATTGAAATTTCATGAGAAATCTCATTCACTTTTTAACTAATAAGTCTGACCACATATTTTTAACAAATGGCAGGTGCTCTTAAACTAGAAACTCACTTTTGTTTCACACTTGACTTTTGGAGCATCATGAGGATATCCTGGACCAACCTTTAATAAACAAGACAGATTGGCATTGATAAAGGGATAATTAAATGTCTAAGCAAGTTATCAACATTCATGGAAAATGTTGAGCCTTGCTAACCAATGATGCATGGTGATTGTATGATCCCAGACAGTGTTGGCTTCAAAAATCTAACAAATTTATGCTTTTCTATGGTTACAAAAGTAGGATTTAGATTAGGTAGATTTGTCAGACAAAGAAATTAAGATTAGAGTAAATAGAACCTAAATAGAACCTAAAGTGAACTACTAGAAATTTTGAAAGACATCACAATAAATTGCTGCCTGCTGTTTACTGTATTTACTCATCTATAAGTTCAGTGATTTTTTCACAAAACTTTACCAAAATCTCGAAAATTTGAGCTGGAGAAGAGTTCTTGGCTTATAGCTGAAAGTTTTTCCAAACATAATTTTTTTGAAACAGCAAATTCAAAGGAAACAGATATATTCATCTATAAGCCGAGATATTGCATGCAGTTAAGTAAATAACAAAACAAGTTGAAGTTGGTAATTGACTCTATTTATGTGGTTGCTTCCAAAGGAGCAGTTTGTTGTTTTTGGCGCGTAGTAAATACGGCTTATTGTTCGTCCTCAGTGTCAGCGTGGAATTCATCATCCATCTCCTCCTCATCCGCTAGTTCTGCCATTTATTCCCAGTAGATTGCTTCATCTTCCATGCCGTCTGGAGTATTAGAGATTCTGCAGGTTTTGAACGAGTGTACAGATCTTGCAAAAGTGTTTTAAAAATTTTGAAATTGACCAATCAGAATTGCCCATTTACACGATTGGTAAACAAACTCGTCACATGTTACGGTGTTGAAATTTGCGATCACGTAAAAAGAAAACTTATCTTGGCTTGTCTCCTCTGTAAACCAGTCAACAACAACAACAAAAACCTTTATTTATTCTAATTTCTAATGAATATTTTAACAAATTGGACATGCCCACACGTAGCTATCTAATCTAGGTGGGTCATGTCTTAACTAAGAAAAAAAGTTGGTATACAAGTTTACAGTTATCAGGAAATTAATTAGAGAGAGTAAGTATACTGGTTTACAGAAATCAGGAAGTTAAATAAAAAGAGTAGGTATAAAATCAAAGAAGTAAAAAGTAAAAGTCAAGTAATCTCTCATCCAGCCGAGGATATTTTGGAGTGTAATAGCCCATTGTTGTGCATTTCGCTGACATCTCAAGCTCTCCATTACAGAGGTTCTCTTGATCTTTCCTCTAGTGACTCACTGATGTCTTACTCTCTGGTTATCTTGGAATTTTTTTCGACGGCAATACTGCATTGAAACTCTTTTCTGTTTCGAAACTTTTGCATTCATTTCAGTTGGTTAGAGAATAGAATTCTCTGAATATGGTCTTGGCTTATAACCGAGTATTTTCAATTCACATGTTTTCAGAACCTTCCTGATTAACACAGACCGAAGTTTAGGGTCTCGGCTCATAAACGAATAAATGCGGTAGATGCATTTTCAACAATCCATTGCAGTTTTTCAAAGTAGTTTCCTTTGTCATCCAATGATCTTAGAAAGGATGCAACTTACCTTAAAACTAAAAACAAATCTGCCATTTCTGTAAAATCCCTAAAAAGTAAAAGAAAAAAAAAATCAAATCAAAAGTAGCAATAAATCTTCAAAAAACTAAGTAATATTGTTTACTATTACTGAAACTTATGATGATCTAAGAAAAATGAGATATCGGTTTGAGTAATGGGGCTTGATTTATTCAAGTAAAGGGAAAAAGTTGTTGTTTTCTTAAGAAACTGCTGTGCATTATCCATGGACAAGTCAGTTAATGGACAATGTCTGGCTCAAACTTGCACATGTCAGATGAAATGTTTCGTAGAGGTGTCCATTAAGTTTGAACAAATTTTAAAAAGTAGACTGGAGTCTCGCTTGGCAATTTCAATCACAGTACTTAAAAGTAAGATAAAATCAAAAGTGTCTGCTCAAATTTTTTGGTCCAAATAAAATGGAAACCTGGTAAGGAATATCAGTATGTCCCTCAGGGAAGAAATATTACTTGCTTCCCTAGTAAAGCACTTTTAATTTCACAAAACTGTGTTTCACAGGCATCAGTAGATAACCAGCATTTACACACCATAAACATTTCCTTTGTGTACCAATGATAAAAACTCACCTCCTAATAAATTTTCATTGCAATAACAGATAACTGTAATTTACACTGAGTGTTTGATGCAACTTCTTAGATGTTGGTAAAAAACTAAGATGGTCTCTAAAAGATTATTGTACCTCATCTGGTGAAATATTGAGCTTGAAATTTAGAAGATCATCTGGATCAGGAAATTCTATTTGACATGTTTTTGGAAGCTCGAGATCCCGTACATCTGGAATGCAACACATTTCAATAATGACATCAATACCAAGTTTAGTGGTAAAAACATCATGGTTTGGTTAAATGAAATAACAATGGGTATAGCTTTGGTAGTACTCTTGAAAAATTTCCAAGGGGAGTGTATGACACCCTTTTCAAGAATATTACTTTAATTAAGATCACATAAGTAATTAACCCTCCCTCCTTGAGATACATTTAAAGAAAATAAACAGCTTCCAGACAAAGGATCCAGAGAGAAACAACACTTTGATTTCAGAACCAAAAAGTAAAATCTACTTATTTGATTTCAGAACAGAATGACAAAACCAAAAGCAAAATTATTCATATGATACTGCCTATAAACTGTATTTTATGCATGGCTGCAGGGTTTATTCTAGAATCATGTAATTGAATAAAATCTTGCATTCTGATTGGTTAACGAAGCAAGGCATTTAGTGCGGAATTGTGAGTTGAAAACAAGGCTAAGAGATATTGTTTCTCACCTCTCGTTTCTTACTTAGGATAAAAACAAACAATGTTATCGCTGTTTTCTCTTTTTCTTATTTTTTTTCAATTATGTGATTCAAGGAAATCATTACCTGACTCTTGGATTCCATGTCAAATTGTACTTGAAAACCTATATGGCACTCATCACTTCATGCCATATAGCTTTTCAGGTGTAATTCAATGTGGAATTCCCTTGTCAGGTGATGAATTTTCCTGTAAAAATTGGTCAAACAGAGCCCAGTGGGCCCCTTCTTTAACTTAAAAGGGGCTCTTTCTATAAAATGGGGGCCAAAGAAAGGCAGAAACCAAAAGGTGTTTCAATATATTTGTATAGTCTAGTCAGTGAGAAAATGAAGAAGAGAAAGGCAATGGAGACAGAAAGAGAAGAAAGTTTTATATAGCAACTCTAGCATTAAACTTGTAATTAGTTCCATTTTTTAATACTTCAGCTAATACAAAATGGTATTAAAAAGTAGAACTCATCTTTTGGCACAAGTTTTTGTACCCTAGTTGATGCTTGGTTATAAGTTTTGAGCTGTATTTTTTTTTTGAAGATATCCTGCAAAGCTGCACTCTAGAACAATTACTGAGGTTGTAACCCATCACCCAGACACAACTCCACTCATCCTCCTAAGAAACCCTTCTCTTTAGACTTCTGATCACTCTGTAGAATTTCAAAAGGTGTCCCTGTGGTATGTGTAGTTTATATACCCTAAAGAGAACATGGCACTGTGCAAGGAAAAGGTCATATAACCAAATGGCACTTAATTCTGTGTTTTCTCCATTATTCCTGAGACTCCATAAAAACTTCCTTCTTTCACTTCATCCAAAAACAATTGAAAGAGAAATTTCTGTGGCACTTTGAACCTGATCCTCAAAAACTATTTGATTTCTATGAACAGCACTCTAAGTTTGTGTCCATCTGGGAAACAAAGAGCAGACCTGCAACACCCCTAACACTTATCATTTTAATTCAAATTGGACTTTGAGTCTCTTCTTCACTCTGGATAGTGATAAAATTATTTGTCCACCATGCTCTTGAGATATAAATACTATTATGAAAAACCTTCCATAAACAAGAACAATTAGTCATTGTAGCGGTAACTTATCCTTATTCGAGACCGACGTATCAATCAAACTTATCCATGTCTCACGAAATTTAATGATTAGCATGAATTCGCTAGTATCAACAGCTTGGGCTTGTAAACAAAACAAATACCACACTGGATGTCCTTCGTGTCGGTAGCGTTTTTTGGAGAAAATTAGGCAGGATACAGGATACTATTTAAGGTTTAAGAAATCAAAGTGGCAACATGGTGAAAATGTACAAAAAATCAGGCTTGATTTTCGTACAAAATAACAAAAAGATTACTTCAGAGAAGACACTCGGAGAAACTCAAAACTGTCAAGATAGACTTCAGGACAAAAACCAGCAGTGAGCATGGCTAACAAAGCAAGAAACAGAAGGAGCTATTTTCGCTGTTCATTCCTTTAGTCTACAAGGATATTCTTTTATAATAACTCAACAGATCACATAACGTGGACTAAAACGAATAAGATACATGATCATGATGCAATGGCAGCACAATGTCTAAGCTTCTTCTACAAGAAAAACATCGTAACATACCTTTCGTTATTCTTAGTTGCGCCGCAGAAGCCCTCTTCGTCCCTGTCTTTGCACCTTCTCCTTCCTTCTTTTGTTGCTTCAAAGAAAAAAGCTTGATCATGGCTCTAATATAATCCACACAACCAACAAAATTCAGCAAATTCCCCTCTATCTGCTCGAATCTAAACGAGGAAAGAGCCACGAAGAGTCAGCGAAAGTTTTACTTCGGCGCCGGCTCACACAATCTGATTGGTTCAAAATTTACGGAGAATTCTCGCCAAATGTTCGGAGGTTTAGTGGAAAAGACCGAGTAATTATTGACTGAAAATTACTTGTCCCCAGTCCTTCACTGTTGAGCGACGCGGTTACCAAAAAGTGGCGCGCTTTTTGATAACTTCGCGCGAGGTTCGCGCGCTGTAAATATCCACAAAGAAAGCGAGAAATGGGAGAAAAATTTTCTGACATAATTACATAAGTTTCTTTCGTCTTTCTTTTGTGCTGAACTCTTTCAGGGGTAAGTAACCTCGATATACGGAAATTAGTTAAGTCATTTCTTTCCTTTTTTTCCCAATTTTAAGTAAGTTTTTAAGGGTTCCCTAGATTACTCAAACGATAGAAAGTCTTTTCAAAATTCGGTTTGGTGTAGAAGCCATTTCACAGTACACATTACTTAAAGCTGTGTTTTTTGAACGCTCTTTACGAAACTCAGTCTATCCTATTTTGGACTGATTATTTCCTTTGATCTTTCGAAACATCTACGTCTGTTTACTTCTTTTAGGCTTTAGGCATTTGGTACCGTGAAATCTCAAGGGGGAAGAGTGACTTTAGATCATGTCCCGATCAGTTACAATGTATCGTTACATGAGAAGTGTGAAGAAAAACAAATTCAGCAAGCATGGAGCACTCAAATCGGCAAAAGCTACGTTGAATGATATAAACCAAAAGCAGTCAATGCATAAAAGAAGTTCATTTGGTCTGTTTGCCTTGCTACCCCGAGAAATGCGCTTTAGAATATTTGGCTTCACCCCACTTTCCGATCTCGGGCAACTTTCCTTGACATCGAGACTTCTCACGGACGAGGTAGTGAACTACATTCACAGCAAGGACGCTTTGCTCGCTATCGTCCCGAACATCCAATTCAAGAGTGAACGGGAATCTTCCCAGATTTTCATATCCGTGAAAACTGGGTACTGTTGGAACCACTTCAAAGACCTTGGTGAGATTTACATCAGTATCATACCTCAGTATTGGGATAGCCTTTAATTCCACAATCATCCTCACTAAAATTAACCATTTACTGTTTGTCAATTATGTGCTTTCGTACCATAAACCAAATAGGCATTAACATTTATTCAACAGAAAAGTCTTACACGGTCAGAAGTCGCTCGCTCAACGGAAGTTAAATCGGGTTACTTCGGATAGGGAGTATCAAGGAACAACTCGCCCTTTGTTACTGCATAACATTTACGCAGCCGCTTTTGAAGATGTTTTAAGAATTAAATTACAAAAATAAAGAGAGCAGTTCGCTACAATACCCACATCCACCAAATCAATGTTGTACAAACGCAGAAAGAAAGTCCAATATTGTATAGGGGAATTGAGGGGGGGGTGTAAATAAGGGTGTTAGGACTGATTGGAGACCAACTAGAGATAAAATTAGAGTGGTATTTGAGATTCGTGGGATCTTACTGGTTGTAGCATAGTATTTATGGCGTTTATCAAGCGTAATGTTTTACTACATCTTTCAACAGGGACATTACTCAAAAGAGCAACCTGCCTCTTTTCTACCAAAGAGAGGTTAAAAGAAGTCGGAATAGTTTTGGACAAGGTATGAAATCAAGTTACACCGCTCTTATAACTTTCCCTTTACATAACAGGCAGCTCTTAACGCTGAAGTCTGGTGTCACCCGTGATAAATGATGGTAGGATTCAGCTAGAATAAAAAATTCTGGCTTCCACTTTGCTCATGTCGGCGTTCCATCGCAGCCGACTTTAGGTTCGACTTTCTAATATTAAATTCTACCAATTTTATTGAGATTCAAATTAAAGTGTTCTGGTTCTAGACTGGCTTGAAAGTAGCGTTCCAAAGTCGCGCAATGCAATCTCGACAATGTAAGAAATCGTAGAATAACAAAATAAACATACATGTCACATTCTGATATCCTATAGTTCACTAACCGAAGGAAAGCAAACTGGATACAACATCCGCTTGAATGTGTATGACATTTCCCTCTTATCGTGTGCTGGACAACCCTTAACTTGCCCACGACAAATTATGCGATTCCGACATCATTAAATCACACGTAAAAATATATATAGTAACACCCAAACCTCTTGAACCATCTGTAGCTTAAAGACACACACTCAAAGATCTGTACCACCCTTGGAAGTGACACCGCCTACAGCTGTTACGGAAAGTTCCTCCATTCCTTTGTTGCAGGATGGGAAGATGATGAGAAGTTTAAAGCCTATCTTGCTATCAAAGGTATGAACTGGCTAAAAACAGACAGACACAGACAGACGAACTCACTCACAATTCGGTTGAGCTGTTCCAGTAAAACAGTAGATAAAAGAGCACTGTTTAGCTTAGGTGGATTGAATGGAGTTGGCAAAAACTGGACAAGGTATCTGAAAACCTTTGGAGATATATTGGTAAGTACAGCAAGATAATGTCTAGGTTAAAAAAAACTAATGACATTAAAGTGAAGAAATTTCCGTCGTTTAATGCATAAGAAAGCCAACGCTTAGATTACTTTCCTTACAAAATTCTCATTCTTCGTTGAGTTTATCAAAGCATCCACCGTGAGTTTCAAAGCGTTAGTGTCCAAAAGCATAGTTGCCTGCTTCCTCCCTCCAGATCATCCCTCCGGGGTCTGGTTGAATTTTGTTAACATAGAGCTAGGGCTCGAGCCTGGACTGGACTGCAGAGACCAGGGCAGTAGAACACTCGAGTGTTCCTCTTCACACGCATTTACTGGCATTCTATTTGACTTCATTATCTTTTAAAGGGGCCTCGTGTTTGGATGACAGAATTAGGCAGGTGCTTCGCTCCCCGCCAGGATCACAGCCATGGTACGAGAGATACATAAGGGTATTCTGTCGAGAAATATTCTTGGACAAGGCTAGCGATCACACTGAGAGAGGATTCTGGCTTTGCAAAATACTAAAGCCGTGGCCCCTTGTTTTCCAAGCCCGACTACTTTATATCCTATACGGACCTGTAAACGATGAAAACGGCAAGTAGTTATCAAACTATTAAAATAGTTAATGATAAACCAATAACTCTGACTGGAAATTCGCTCCTCTAGGCCTTCCAAACGCGCTTCCCATTACATTCGGTTAATGAAGTCTTGTAACTGTTTCACTTTGTAAGTAGCAAAATCATGTAAAACATTCTATTAGCAACTAAACTGTATTTTGTTTACTTCATTATTCATCCTAGATCCGTAAAGAACGTAGGTTCGAAAACTGAACGAACTTACCCTTGAACTGAATACATATAAACCTCGTATAACTCTCCTACTCACAACTTGAAATGGTCTGTTACTTCTAATTTTTATTAAAGGAATGAAAATTTCCCACCACAACCACACTCTGTCTTACGTGGTCTTAGCTTGTAGACTATTAATTTTACAGGAACTGTTGACTGGAATTCGTTACAAAGTTGTCCAACTTATTTTGGCGTTGAAGACGCTGAACTGATGGAGCTTGCAGACGCCCTCAAGATCTTACATGTGTACTGTGACAGCAAAGACTGGAACGAAGATGATTTTATCAGCGTGTTTGAGGAATTAACTGGTATTTGCGTTTAACATTACAATAGATCTCTGTAAGTGAATGAAATCCGAAACGTGCTATAGGCGTGGCTTGATTGAATGTAACATTAGATGTACGCCTCACACCAATTAACGAACCTCTACATTCCTTTTTCCCCCTTTGGTTAACCGTTTATCAAAATTTATTTTAATATCTCATCTAGTTAATGCGTAGTCCAAAGGGCAAGTTATTTTTAAAAAGGACTCGCCTCGCGCATTTACGTTGTGTTTAAGCTGCCTTTCATCAAACAAATCAGTGCCTCTCTCTGTTTTCCTCATATGCAGGTACACCATCTGACTGGTGCTGGGAAAATATCGCCAAACTACTAAAACTGTGTGGAGAATCAGTTTGCTTCGAAGTACTTGGAAATAAAGCTATGAATGGGAGAGTACATGAATTATCATATTTAGGTTATTACCTTGGCCAGGTAATGTTTTCGTGTCATTTACTAAAAGAAGTGATTCTGCTGCATAGATTTGTTGTATGTATGTAATATTTGAAAAATTGGATTTCAGTGTTCTCTTATTTCTTGTTTTCTAAAAAACACAGGTTTTAGGACAAGATGACATAATTTATGGCAAAGAGAATGGTATTCAATGCTTTTCAAACACCATGAGACAAATTCTGGCTGTAATGCCTAGCAGCAGAGATCAAGCAGCCTTGACATCATCTTTATTCAATGTATGGGAGGATAACATACTAAGCCTTGGAGAGGGGCTTCAAGAAGACCTAGGTGCTTCATACGATAGTTTTCACATTCAAATGTTCATATTCAACATAAACTTAAAATAACTTGCCTTGAATAAAAAGCAAAACAAAACAAGTAGCTATATTGAAAAATATTGAGCACAAAATAAATTTGGATCATTTAAACCAGTTTAACCCTTGAGAAATAGATATAATGTAGATTACAGGTAAACAAAGAGAGAAGAAAAAGCCTACGATGAAGGATAGAGGAAAAAAAGTTGGTAAAATCCTATTCTTTTTTCCTTAGGACTCAGCTCTTCATATCAATCCCCTGCATATTTTATCTAACCTCTTTTTTGATTGCCCCCTCTGAGAGCCTGAAAGCAGTGCAAAGAAAATATTCATGCTTGCATACTTAATGAGTCTCAGCAAACGAAAAGATTTATAGAAATATAATCAAAGAAATTCACACAGAAAGTTCTAAAGAAGTGGGTGAGCCTTTGTATCTCATTAGCTGGGGGAAGGGTATTTTTTGTCACTGCAAAGAAAAGAAATCCAAGTAAACAACAATTACATAGTACACTGAGTAAATGAATCATTCTAAGTACTAATTTATTCTGTTTTCTGTTTGTAGATGCCACTACCCCAGAAGAACAAGAGCAGGTTTTTGCTGCAAGTATACACAGTCTAGCAAAAATAGCAGCAATCTTTGTTAAAGAATGTACAGTAAAATGAGAAGACCTCACAGAAGAACAGTTCCAAATGTCCCTCTGATGTCCTATATGGAGAAGAAATCAAATTATGACAGAATTTGATGTAATGCAGTGCATCTCTAAAATGTGGAAATTTACTGATGAAAAACCTAAAAAGTGTTACAAATATTTTTGGAGAAATATTTTGCTTACACTTTTTCATCTTCATTTCTAATGTACCCTTGTCAAATTACTTAAATCTCAAAAAAATAATTGTATTATAATTCAAAATCACCAACGATTTTAAGAGAAACTTTTCACAAGATTCTTTACCTTTCGACATTAAACTAAACATTTAAGCAATAGTTTCATAAATTTTACTAAAGCATTTTATTAATTATAGGTGTCACCTCATAATTATTTTACTGAAGAATTATAATTAACTTCTGACAGTAAAATTGTATTTACAAAATAACTCTCTTGTCAATTTTTTTTGTGTCATATTATTTTTGCAATAATAAATAACTTAACAATTACAAAAAAAAAAAAAAAACACTTGTATGGAACAGGACCACTATTATGCACAAAAAAGGAACTGGCCTTATTTCTCCCTGTACTAAATTACTTCCCTTCGAATAATAGTTGGTTCAAATCTTAAACAGGTCTTACTAAGTTTTCAGGATTTCAGAGATTCCAGACCTTGGTAATGAAAAAAAGGAAGGCTTTTGGTCTGGCAAAGCTGCAACTGCGAGAGCCAAAGGCGTGAGCTTCTAGGGGGTCCAGGGGTATGCCCCTCCAGAAAAATTTTTAAAAAGAAAGGCCTCTAAGATGCCTTTTACAACATTTTGAGATCATAGTCAATGAAAAATTGCCTTTGATAACCAGGTAGAGTTTTAGACACATTTATTGACAATTTCAAGCTTAACGCATCAGCCTATACATCATAATTTGAATATATCAACAAATATGAAATGGTAAATTGGCCACCATTACGATTATAAAAGCTGACGTTTCGAGTGTTACCATTTCAACTTTGTTGAGTGATATATTCAAATTATTTCGTTACCCCCACCGACACAGCTCCAAACAGTTTCTTTAGAAACTATCAGCCTATACATCAGGCTATAGAGCAAACCTCACACAAAGTCAAGGCAATCCAGTACATTACTGCACCCAAAAAACTGCAGGTTCATGCCAGGTCATGCCCAGTGGTAAAAGATGTGTGAGATACCACAAAAAAAAAAAACAACAACAACAAATGATCCTGTTAGTGAAGACTAGTGAAGCAAAGAACACATTATCCTCCTTTGTTAGAAGAAAGTTACAAATAACAGGAGAATGTTGAATGAAAATGGGAGGCTGGAAATAATAACCAAAAATGGGAGGTTTCCAGCCAAAACTGAAGGGTTGGAATCTCTTGGATTTGTTTCAATAGCTAACGGAAAAAAATAAATGAAGTGGCAATTTGATTATCCAGCTGAACAGCTGCATGGTTAACCAGTGAGAATAATTTAAAGGGTGCAACACAATAGAATACATTAAAATGCAGTTTCTTGCAACTTTTTTGTCATGAATACTTTTGGTATTCCATACTAAGTGGAGGGTATGATCATTATCACCTCTTGATGAATTGTAAATACCCAGTTTCCAATAACTCACAGTCTAAATTTCAATTAAATTTATTCATTTAATTCCAATATGTACCTTCAGTGTCAGATGTCTTGATTGAACACCATGCTGGTCTATTTGATAAAATGGGGGCTGGGAAATGTTTTAATATTTACGTCCACAAGCACCTGTCCACAAATAACATCCTTTGTAAACACCAACATCGCTTCAGGTCCAGACTATCTTGTGAAACGCAACTGGTCTCAGCCATTCACGAGTGGGCCTCCATTCTCAACATTAAGGGTCAAGCTGATGTTATCCAACTCGATCTCAGCAAGGCCTACGACAAAGTATCTCATCCAAAGCTCTTACATAAGTTAAGTCAGTATGGTATTCAAGGGCAAACCTTATTATGGATAAAGGGTTTCTTAAGCAACCGCTCCCAAAGTGTCAGTGTAAACGGCGTACACTCTACCCCGTGCAAGGTTATTTCAGGTGTTCCACAAGGGTCTGTCTTAGGCCCCACGCTTTTCTTGATGTACATAAATGACATCGTGGGTGACATCAAGTCAAATATTAGACACCATTATGTACCGACACCATTAGGTACCGACAGATGGTATCGCCTGCGGATCATCTTATCTTTCAACAAGACCTTGACAGACTAACTTCATGGGCCTGTCTTTGGCAGATGGATTTTAATGTTAAGAAATGCTACCACATTTCCTTGACCAACAAGCGAACCATTGTCATACTACCATATTACATGCATAGTCAGGTCTTGGAACATGTAACTTCCTATGATTATCTGGGTGTTAGATTAACGAGCAAGCTAAATCGGAAAGAACACTGTGACAAAACTTCCAATGAAGCCAATAGGGCTCTCGGGCTGGTCAAACGGACTTTACAACCGTGTACGCCTGAAGTCAAGGAAAGAGCCTACAAAGCAATTATTCAACCTTTACTAGAATATGCAAGCGCTGCCTGGAAGCCACAGACAAACAGGGACACTGAAACTATCGAAAAAGTCCAGCGACGGTGATTCGCGCTTTCGTTTTGAAGCGTTACTGTAGCTTTGAAGGTTTCTGATGTATGGTTGCCGTTTATTTTTGTACTGGTTGTCAGAGGAAGCAAGTCAAAAATTCGTAGGGCATTCCATACATCTTATAGATCCTTTCGTGATCTCTGGCTGACCGTTATTTTGATTCTTCGCGACTTTAAATAAAGAGAGGGGTTGGTCCCCAGACTCCCTGGGACAACGCTGTGGCGCCAAAACTATAAAACACTAAGTGCAAATCAGATGGGCTGCTCGTTTCGTCGCCCACAATTACAAGAGATCTACAAACTCACAAGATCTTGTAAATCAACTTGGTTGGGACTCCTTGGAATCCAGACGTTTGCTGGCCCCATCTTCTATCCAACCAGCTCCTAGACCAAGGATCCAACATTCCATGCTCCAGCCCCACTCAAGTGTTTTAGCGCACAGTTATTCTCCGTTTATACGAACTGTTCGGGTATGGAATAAACTGTCAACTCAAACAGTCCAAGCCGAGAACATTACTTCTTTTAAATCATTAGCCATAAGGGACATTCAGAACATGAAGACTTTTGTATCCTGAAGGATATTAGAAGCGAAATAAAAGGATAAACAGAAAACACGTGGAGTTCACAGTAGACATTAACTCAACTGTATTCTTCAGGTATAGCATCATCTTACATCACGTGACCTACAAATACTACAAAGACCCCGAACCACATTAAAAGATTTTGAACTATTTACATTTTCTTGTTTCTTTAGACTTTACATATTTATTGTAGATTATTAGCACTTTTAATTAGTTATTCTATATCTCCCAGCGTTAGCCCAGCTATTTGGGAGTATAAGTTCCAAGTTCCAAGGCTGAAAATCAGATAAATTAAAATTTGTAATGTAGTATTATTAATAATTTCCTGAGGCATGTGTAGCTTCTAAGAAACTAGGGATACCACTGCTGATAAATATATGTGAACCATTAGCCCCACACCCACCTCCAAAAAACATCTAACTAACATGCGTCACAAAGTAGTAACAGCACCTCCACTTGCAAAATGGAGACAAATATACAAAATGAAAATGAGAAGAAACATGGATGCTTACTTTGGGCCAAAATCGTAATCAGAGCTGTTAGGCCAAATGCAGTATTTCCAAATTCACCACTGCGCAACAGAGGAAATCTGAAACTCGTTCAAAGAAGTCAAAGTAATCCTCTTCAAACGGGAGGCGAGACGAGACGAGACGAGACGAGACGTGACGAAACGAGACGTGATACAATGTAATTTACATATGGGCAGAAGCCAGAATTCTGACAGATCCCGATCGTTCTATTACTTTGTTTTGGTTGATCGTTTGTTTTTGTTTAAGAAGCTAATTGAAACTACAGAAGTTAATTAAGAAAATATAAAACATGAATTAAAGCACTAATTTTTATTTGTAGTCTCTAGGACACATTCTTCCGGTGTTAGAGTTATAATTCAATTATTTAATTAGAGCATCGTGCAGGTCAAATAACCAGTCAGCTATCCTCGATGTGAAAACATTTACCAGCACAGAATTCAGACGGCCCTTCGAAAGACACATGTTGAACACCCAGATGCGCCATGCACCAATGATTTATTGCATTTGTTATCTCGCGATGACAACCGTTCTTGACAGCTTTCAATTGTTAACCAAGTTACGCGAGTATTTCATGACAGAGACTGTTTGTGTTAGTGACGTCACTGAGTCGCAATATACTCAGTTGCAACTGTCGATCTTCGGGAACCTCTCTACCACATAATTTTGCTGCTGGTTCGATTTTTCTCACCGACTATAGAATAACATGGGTGGGAAACTTGATAAAAACAAAAGAGACAAGATAATCGAAGATGATTTTGTAGATGTAGACAAGTTTTCAGGAGGCTATGATGAATTCGGCGAGCGGAAAGGTGAAGGAGCGTATTTCTTCGCTAATGGGGATATTTACGATGGAGATTGGAAGAAGGGCAAGAAGCATGGCTATGGAACTTATACATATGCAAATGGTAAAAGGTATGGTAACTTCTCTGGGTGATGGAAACATCGCAAGGAGAGTCCTTTGGGTTGAATTTTTGCCCGGTTTTATCTTTACTTCCGGTACTTCTGTTTCGAACGCTTGATTGTCCATGAAAAACAATACACTGCTCTTTGAAGATTTGCGCTGCAGTGTAATAGGCTGTTGTTTAATTACAGCCTCTCAAAGAAATGAGGACGTCGGAACGTATAGAAGTAACATGTTGCTTTATTTTCCTTCCTGATGATATTTCAGCCGAAGATACGCTATATTACCGAGAAATTCGCGAAATACGCTAGACTAGTCCAATACGATCGCGAAGGGCTTTTGCCGGAAACTGTGAAACACGAAAACTCAAATCCTTAAACTTATAAGGATAATGGCCCTTTTCAAACGAATGTTAGTGAATGTGAATTAATAATTTATGGTGTGCTTGTTGCAGTTAAAGATCTTTAAGCTCAACAGCCTCGAAATAAAGGGTATTGGCCATAAATTACTGGATTAGCCGCGCTCTCATTGCGATTGACGTTTCTAATCAAGAAGATAAATATTTTAATTTTGGTCAGAAGAATAATTCTGAAAATTATTAATAATAGATTTTACGAAAGTTAAAGTCGTAGAACAAAACTTTCCAATCGAATTCTCCCGTTATCAAGAGTGTATTAGAATAGCAGTGACTGTTAAGCTAAAGATTGACGGAATTTGGTTAAGGAGTTTAATTTCGTACCTTTACTGTCAACTGGAGAGTGAACAGGAAGTAAAAAATGTCCTTCTCTCCAAGGAATTTTGACAGATTTAACAAAATTAGTCCGAAAGAAAGCTTTATGATTTTTATTATTTTAGTTTAGACGGCCTGTCACGCAATCTTCGTCGAGGCCGACAAAGTCAATTGAAAGTGTCACATGTAACCTACTTCGTTTGCCTTTTTTGCTTGTACGTTGCCTTTCAGTTTATACCCTCTTGATAATGCACATACCTTCTGTGTGTGACCCGAATTCAATATTTTGTTTTATTTAAGCATTAAAGGATGGTTTTACAAGGATCAATTCATTGGATCAGAGCCAAACGAAAAGTTAAAGAAAAAATTGAAAAAGAAAAATAAAAAATGTGAAGAGGATGCCGCAACGCTGCCTCCACCAGCAAGTCTTGTATTGTAAGTTTTTCTCAATTTTAAATCCTTTTTATTATAATAACATGGTTATCTATAATTCAGAACCGGTTGATTCAAATGTTATCACTCACTTCTGCTATTTGAAAAAGGATTTTAAAAACCGCTCGATATATCTTAAATATTGTTTCCAATAAAATGAAAAAGCCCGAAAACTGCATCGGCACTACGTAACAATCTGCAACAACGATTTATGCGTAACTTTCCTGCAACCTTTCGTGGAAAATCTTGGTAGGATTGCTTCCAGAAACTCGCAACATGTTGCCGAGTGTAACAACATCTTTGCGTTTTCCATGGAACTGACATATATTCTACATTACGACTAGTAGCCGTTTACTTAACAAATGGTAAACACCACAGCGTACACTATTGAGTTATGGATGCACGCGGGAGGTTACCAAGCACGAAAGAAGCGTAAGAGTCGCTCGAGGCGATAGCCGAGAGCGACTCTAGCTTCTTGAGTGCTTAGCAAACCTCCCAAGTGCATCCATAACTCAATAGTGTACGCTGTGGTGTTTACCATTTGTTTTATAACATAACATTGATACATTGTAGCTAAGGAGTTCCCTTTTATTTAACAAATCTTACGTGACCAGAAAAAACAAGCGCGCGCGGAAAAATAGTCTTTGCATTTGCTCACGTCAGCAGCGTACACCCATGGGCAAATGGTGGACGCTAAATTGACCAATCAGAGCGCGCGCTTTACTTTGGTTATATTATAATTAACAATTATTCCACGAGTGTGCGTTGGATATGAGATGATAGATAGCCAACGAGGCGCGTAGCGCCGAGTTGGCTATAATCATCTCATATCCAACAAGTGCGAGTGTAATAATTGTTTTATTAAAAAAAAACGCCCCCAAGATATTAGACCAACCTTCTCGACTTTATTTTGTAAGAAGAAACCGGATGTTACAATGTACAGATATTACATTATGGTATATTGGCTCATATACCATAATGGCCAAGCCAATAAAAAGTCTTGAATTGCATTATCCTATGATCCAGTTTTTAATAATATAAATTCAACAAAAATGCTGAAACACAACTAATGTTAAATTCGTGTCCTCGGGCCTTCAAAGAAGTGCACCTGCATCTTTTGAGGGTACTTGGTTAAATCGTGGGTACCCCTGGATACGGTTTACAGTCCCTTTTTTTTTTTGCGTTTTTCGTGTGGGTATTGGCAAGTCGTAGGCGAACGTAAGGGCAGTGCGAGGAGAGCGTGAGGGGCGAGTGCGAGGACTTCAAGTGAGCGAGAAGAGAGCGTCGTTCGGCGAGCGCGAGGAAAGCGAGTCTCACGCGCTTTCCTCGCGCTCGTCTCGCGTTTGCCGCTCCACCGTAAAGACGCAAATACCTGACGTTGACACCTCTTTCGCGGGCTGAGTGTGCCTGCATAGTAAAGCAGTTAATCCGGGAATTTTGAAAAACGAGACTTGGATTCGATAAAAAGGGTTGTACAGTAATCTTTAGAAAAACCTGCCTAATTATTGAACTTCGATCCTCCCTAGTTCCTCGACCGCAGGCAAAACCTCCAAGCCCCTGCCCACAATTCGTAAATCCACCAGCCACGAAGACGTTTTCACAACCGAACGGGTCGAGCCCGATGGATTCCGACGGACGAAAAGTGAACGCCGTGCAAAGAGCGCCTTTAAGAGGAATTACAGACTTCCCAGCAAAGAAGATGAAAAGATGGAACGAAAGAGAAGCTTGAGGCTAAGGCAGTCAATCCGTGCGAAATATGGTTTACCAGATCCTTCAAGAAAAAATCCCTTTCTTGGTAGTTCTGACTAGGTGTGAATTGATAATAATTTCCAAATGTATTTATTTATGAACCATTTAGATCTTTATAGCGGGGCTTTCACGCGCGCTTCGCGCGCGTGGGGCAGAGCCCCATACCCATGGAATACGGTCAACCTCTTTTCGTTTGGTTGTCACGTGACTGACTGAGCGTACTTACGTGCCTTCAGATTGCACGGGTAGGGTAGGGGAGACTATCAAAAGGAAGGAAGGGGTGACTCAGGCGAGTCTTGGCAAATAGACATCTTTTATGTTATTATTAATATTACGAACTTGGGAGCTCCGCTTTTAGGCTTGGCTAAATCTATTTAATACTGAACTGAAAATTGCGCGCTCTGTGATTGGTCGCTGCCTCTGATCTGTCGGTGTGCGGGCGCATGGGTGTCTCAGAATTTTCCGAATCAAACCAGTTTTGTAGGAGCTTTTACCAAGCAAATAAACAAATCAAACAAACCAAAAAAAGAAAAAGTTCAAGAAAAGGAAAAGAGTCTAAAAAAAACCAAGATTATCATTGTTATTTTTCCCTGGCGCCTTAAAAAATCCAAGAATCTGGAACAAATCTACAAATAGTCGAGCGCTTCAAGGCGAGTAGTAATCGTTATTTGTATGACCCGCACGGCCCCATAGAAAATTATAGTGAAAGCTGACGTATGTAGGGCCGGACGGGTTGAAGTGAGCCCGCCCAGAAATAGCCGTCCGGCCCTAGTGCACTAGTACGGTGATATTGTTCGCTGTTGTTGCAAAAAACGAGTGACCGCAGCGATCACAAATGAGGAAATAAGTCACTTTTTTCAATAAATTACGAGTTTCTTTTTTTGACGTGAAAAAAATAAAGGAAAGTATTTGTTGTAGAATCTTGTTTGTGGTTTTGGGTGCCAGTCCATCACATCCTGTTTGGCGTTTGCTCAAACTTTCCGAATTTTTCAAAACTTAGTCAGTGGTCATATGGTAAATGCTTATTGACTGAATTAGATCGGACTTGACAGGAAAATATTTGGCTCTCGTTCATGACGTACGGACCGAGCTCAGCCAAATATTTTCCGGTCCCGCCCTACCACATAGTCGAAGAGTAAATAATATTTTATTTTCTGGTAACTTTGTAGAAGAAATTTATCACATTATGCCGTGTGTCTTCAGTTATAAGAATTTTAATTTCAGATAAAAACCTTCAGGTCTGGTGGGTGGGAAAGATACGTCTCCGTTTTGATCTAAAAGAACATACCAGCTCCAGTTTCGCTGCCAGGATAACTTACTCGTTAGAAAATGGACTAGGGTTAACTTTTCATATATTTACAACACGTGTTAACAAAAGATGAGATTTTGACTTTTACATTAAACGAAACATTATATCGAACACAACATGAAAATTCGCAGATTTTTAAAAAAAAAAATTGCAAAGGGCCACTGAAGGCAAAACAGTATTGGACGAAAATAACGTGCAGATATAATTAATAATTGGTCTGGGCAGGATAAAACAACAAACCAAACGTTAATGTAATTATGGATTTATTTGATACTCATGTCCCAACCTTCACATTGTTTAATGATAACATAATTTAAATGGTAACATAATTTAAACGGTATTTTAAAAAAATTAGGAGTGTGGTTTTCCTATGAACTGCCGTTAAGCTAGACTACGAGCAGACTTTCCTTCTCTGTGAACTCCGTGGCGCGAGTACGGAGTTACGGTGGCCCACAACTGTCACCGCAAAACCAAAAAGCCCACGGCAAAACCAAAAAGCCCACGGCAAAACCAAAAAGCCCACGGCAAAACCAAAAAGCTCACGGTAAAACCAAAAAGTTCACGGCAAAACCAAAAAGCTCACGGCAAAACCAATAAGCCCACGGCAAAAACCAAAAAGCTCACGGCAAAACCAAAAAGCTCACGGTAAAACCAAAAAGCCCGCGGCAAAACCAAAAAGCCCACGGCAAAACCAAAAAGCTCACGGTAAACCCAAAAAGCCCGCGGCAAAACCAAAAAGCCCGCGGCAAAACCAAAAAGCTCACGGCGAAACCAAAATACTCACGTGCTCACGGCAAAAGCAAGGCCAGATCCGTGGGTCCTGGACACTAATTGTGCGCGCAAAGGCTGTTGTAGGAGGGTCTCAATGGGGTGCTGGCTTTTACGGTTATCGGCTAAAATTTTGGCTCTTTTACGGCTATCGGTTAAGTTTTTACAGTTACGGTTAACAAAAAAGTTAAAAATTAATTTCTTTGGTTCCAAAAGGTTAAATATTAATAAACCTGTGTTTTTTTAAGCTTTAAAGCAAAATAAA